GTGGTGGCAGTTCTGGATCCCGGTGCAACCGGTATGGTGCAATGGGGCCAGGTGTTCACCACATGCATGTGCTCAGCATGAACATGCGTGCTTACTGCCCACGACACTCCAGCTGCTTGGCGGAGCATCGCTCAGGAGCTATATGCTCTGTCCACATGGGCATAAGCCCCGATTGGCTCAAATACAGGTAAAGAGGGCGGGCGGGTGAGTAGGCCCTCCAGAGCATTGTACCGTAACGGTGCCTGGTGCTCCCAGCAGGCACCGGTACACACTGGTAGTAAATTTTTACTACCATATCTGTGGGCATGGCAGGGGAAGGATACTCTAAAATCTCCATTCCCTCCCCAATCCAGGGAAAAGTCACGGCAAAATCTCCATTTCCTCCTGATCAGATGAGACTCCGGAGGCAGAGAATAGATGGGGCGGGGCCAGCCAGAGGTGGTATTTACTGGTTCTCCCAACCACTCAAAATTTCCGCTACTGGTTCTCCAGAACTGGTCAGAAGCTGCTGAATGCCACCTCTGCTTTCTTCCCTCCTTCTTCCCCCCTCCCAGCAATAAAATAAAATAAACCTAAAGTCTAAACAGCCTCCAGTTTTGCAGGAGCTGAGCTGCAAAGGCTGGTGATGTCATGGACACACCCACAAAGTTATTTGGCAACCATTTTATGTGTGATGGTTTTTAATTCATCTTATTAATGCAACCCATCTTGAAATGGCATCAGTTATTTCTGGTGGTTCACCTAGAGGGCTTTGATGAAGAACAGTTTCCAACTCTGCTCAATGGACTTTTTTTGGAGGCCAGAAATCAGAAGACGTATCCATCTGGAGCAGCAGATTTTAGGATGGGTAGACGACATAAATGCACAAAGTGAAAAGCTGATGGTGGCATGGATTTCCCTGTCCTCTGTGATCGTAAAAAGCAATAAGGAAAGATGGTGTGGCATGAAAGAACATTGACCTGTTGGAATTACTGTGGGCACACCCTTCTTTCAAAAAATGCTGACGTCGAGGTTATTGCCCTACAAAATCCACCGAGTGAAATTCCTTGGGGTGAAACCTGGGACAGTTAAATATTTCTAGGGAGACCTATCGAGTTGAGGAACAGGGCTGAGAGCCTGTACTTTCACATATTTTCTAGGAGTGACCTCTTTCGGGTGAAGTGTTTTAGTATACTAGCTACAGATCCTGTCTTTCTTATGGCGGCTGGAGACCTCTGGGAGTTGGAAGTCCACTCATCTTAAAGTGGCCAAGGTTGAGAATCATTGACGTGAAACATTCAACTTCATGGTGAGCAATATTGCTCAAGATTTTTTTTTTAAAAAAAAGTATCCCGAAGACTGCTCTTTGGCCAATATGGCCCCTCAGCAATCTGTTGCCTCATAAACACGTCCACTGCAGACCCAGGAAGAAGCCTATGGATCCACCTCTTCTTGCATCTGGGATCCACTCTAGGCTGAGATATTGCCATCAGCCTTCCTTGGGGTGGCAATTGCTCTCTTTCCAGCTTCTTTTCCTCATAGTAGCTTCATTCTTCTTCACTACTTCTCCATCCTTACTTTTGAGGAGCTCGAATCTGTTGTCCTCTCCAGCTCTCTTAATTTTTCGCCC